TCGCTGGCGTGTGCATCTGTTCTGCACATAGCTCTGTGTTCTGAGTCATGAGTATGTGCAGGTCCGGCGGGTCTGGCGGGTTCCGCCTCCTCCAGGTCAATGGGATCTGCCCTCAGAACCTGAGGAAGGTGGCTTAGGTGCTGCCCCAAGGTTTGCAGAGCATTTCATTCATGCTTGTTTCCGGCTTTGCCTTGGTAAGCCTCCCAGTAAGCCTGGAAAGGAGGTTGCACTTGCTGCCCTTCGCAGGCTCAGAGAGGTTGAGCGGCTCACCCATGGTCACACAGCTGCATTGAGTAAGTAGCATGGATGGGAGGGTCCCTGAGTCCATTGACCCGAGCCTGTGCTCTACCAGGTCCATAACAACAGACGTGGGACTCAGTGGGGAGCCCAGGTCATCCCTACCCTGTGTCTCTCAGGATCCCCGGACCTAGCCTCACCCCAGCTCTGCAGATGTCAGCCGGGTAGACCTCTGACAGGTCACATTCCCCAACGTGGACGGGCTCTTGGGAACACATGGAACTGAGGGTCTGAGGGCTGTGTGAGTGTCTGGGGGCTTGTGGCCGCTTCTCCAGGATGGCCTCCACACCCGCTGTGACACTCATACGCCCTCCCCCCCCGCCCCCCCCCCCACACTTTGCTGACTCTGGGATCTGCAGAATGTGTATTTTCTCCCAGGTTTGGCCTTGGACTCCATCCCTGTGACGGCCCCGTGACGGCTTGCTTCTTAGGCTCGTATCCATTTTTGAATGCTGAGGGGGGCTCCGCTGGTCAGGAGGGAATATTTTTATGGTAAAAAATGAGCCAAGTTGCATCAGCTCCGGGGGTAGCGGGGGAAGCCGTCACCGCAGGTCACCCAGGCAGACTGATGAAAATTCTGCTTATGAAGTCGCTGCTCCCCCATTAGTTAGGGGGGAGGGGGCCCCTCCGTGCCACTGTGCACCTCGCCCACGGCCAAAAGCTTGTCAACACTTTCCACGAAGAATGAAAATGTAAATAACTTTCAGATTATTCAATGTCACCAAGGTACGGAAAAAGGTCGTCATGCTGGGTGTCATTTATCTCGTTGCGGATTTAAAGAGCTTTTTTCTATTAAATTTCTTAAAATTAATGTTTTATGTTGCTCAGAGTAATTTGAACAATTATGGGCTTAAAGAATTGATCATTACAGCCCCTGGGATTTAGCGCTCCAGACTGATTCCTTTGAAAACCCACTGATTTATCGTTTTGCTACTCAACCAGGCAAGCCCCCCGGGGTTGCGGCCCCCCAGCCCGCTCCTGCCCCAGTCGGGGGACCAGTCCCCAAGATACGTCCGCCCCCTCCTGCCAGCAGGTGGGAGGAGGGAGTTAACGCAGGAAGGGGAGCGGCGCGTCCCCTGGTCTCAGGGAGAGAGGTGTGTCTCTGATTCCCTATGGTCCTTCATCCCCTGTGCACATTTTATATTTAAAAGGAAAGAAGTCCTTTTATGTACTGGTGGAAATTCTTATCTTTATTATTCAGATATTTACGTTTGATAATGTAGACAATCGTCGGGTTCAAAAATTAACAATGTGTATGTCAAGATGAGTATTCTATGTTAAAATTTAATGCTCTAATTATTATGATAAAGAGATTACCGTTGAACAAAACGTTGCCGAGCCCTGGCCCCCGTCCCCCGCTCCACGAAAAAAGCTCAAGTGGGCCCCGCGTGCCCGCCAGGGTGCCTCCCACCCCGAGCCTGCGGCGCCCCTCCCGCTCGCCGCAATTCGGTGGGGGTCCCGGGAGGGCGCGGCGCCGCCCCTCCCCCAACGTTCCGCAGGCCTTCCCGCCCCCGCCCGGCGCCCACCGGCCTCGCGGCGCCCTGTCCTGCTCTGTTCCTCGCGGGCGGCGCCCGGAGCCGGTTGGGCGGGGCAGTGGCCCGGCCCGGTGCGGCGCGCCCCTCGTGGGCGGGTCCCCTCCGAGGCCCCGAGACCCCAGGGCCGGTCCTCGGACTCGGAGCCGGGCGCCCCCCGCCCGGTTCTGCGGCGAGAGGGCGCGCCGGGAGCCCGCATCCCGGGCTGTGACACCCACAAGCGCCTAGACGCCCCGCCCGGTTAACAGACTCCATCGTGGCAAGTAAGTTGTGGTTTCCAGGTGACCCCCGCAGACGGGGCCCGAAAGATGGGGCGTCCACCTCCCCCTGCGGAAGGCCCGCAGCCCGAGGTCCTCCCCACCAGAGGTCTGCCCCGCCCACCTCCTCACTGCGGGTTCCAAGCCTCGAGTCCGAGGTCACGTCCGCTGGCCGAGCGGGGCCCGGAGGTGGGAGCCCGCGTGTCTGCCCGGGTGGGGCGAGCGGAAAGGGATAACACGCGAGCTGGCGCTCAGCTCAGATGCGGGAACAGACCCGCGAGGTGTGCAAACGGGCACCGTGGCGGTGACGGCGGGCCTGGGGCCCCGACGCCGCCCCGGCGCGCCGCCAGCTGGAGCGAGCGCGGCCGGACCTGCAGACAGGCGGAGGGCCCCGAGGGCACAGCCGGCACTTTATTAGCCTGCCAGCGCCTGAAAGGTCCCGGGCGGCCTGGGGAGGTCTCCAGGCTGGAGCGGGGGCGCGATTTGAGGATTTATACCCCCCTTGGGGCTGCCGGAGGAGGCAGCGTCCGCCCCGCGGCCGCCAGGGCCCCCTCCCTAAATCCTGAATCCGACCCGGGCTCAGCCGCTTTCCGCTCGGGGTATCCGTTGCCAGAGTCCAAAGTGGTTCCCCGCAGGAGCCCGCCCCACCTGCCGCTCGGCCACGCCCCTGGGAGTCCGAGACCTTTGACCGCCAGCCCCCAGGGCAGCCTGGGACTCCTTGCACTTCCCGAGGGACACCTCTGCTCATCATGGGTCCCCCAGTGGCTAATGCAGCCACCCACCCCCATCTCTGCTCAGCCGGCTCTTCCCCGGGCGCTCCCCCCGACTGAAGGGAGATCAGGGCTTCTGCTCCCACCCCTGAATTTTCTCCTGAGGGCCTCCCCCATTTCTTGACCCTGGCATGCCCCTGCCCCATTAGATACCCAGGGCCCAGGTGTGCCTGGGAATTGTCAGCAACATTCCTCCTGGTGGGGCCACATGCTCTGGGTCCTGGGCAGCAGCAGGTGCTGGTGAGGGAGCTGTCCCTGCCAGGGCCAGTGGGACTGGGGGTGACTTGACCAAAGCCCCCTGGGCTGCCTGGCCGAGGGGACATCTGGGGAGCTCCCCCTCCTCCTTTCCCACACAGGGGACCCTCAGCCTGTCCCCCATCCTCTGCTCTGATCTGGTGCCCAGCTCCCCTCCCCCCCCCACTAGGGGGCCTGTTCACCCACCCAACTCAGTGCCCTGTTGTCCAGTGAAGGACTCAAGAGCCAGGCCTCTGCCCTCGGGCAAGGTTGGGGGGGGGCCCAAATTCACTAACTCTCCTTTTATGTCCCCCCTTGGAGGGGGCGGTCACCACTGTCTCCACAGGAGGAAAGCAGGGCGCAGAGAGGGCAGGTCACTTGCCCAGGGTCACACAGAAAGTGAGCAGATGGCTGGGACTGGAATCCAAGTTGGAGAGACCCCCGTGACCACGTTCCTTGAATCTCCTGACTGGTTGACTCCAGCAGTCCCCCTCCCCCTGCTGAAGCCAGCTCCCAGCTGTGAGCAGTTTTGCTTGGTCGTGTCACCTGGCCACCCCAGCACCGGCCTCTCCCAGGGAGAGAGCAGGAAGGCCCAGCCCCTCCACCCATGGTTGGACCGTCTGTTCTCTCACATCTCCTTCCAGTGCTCAGAAGCCTGGCTGAGATCCAGGGACAAAGGGGCCCCAGTTCACACCAGGTGCCATCCCTGGCAAGGAGCCAACAACTACTCCAACGGGGCTTCCAGCTTTCAAAGAGCAGTCCCCCACCCCCAATGACCCCCTCCGCCTGCACCCCCCAGCATCATTAAAGGTACGGGCTTTCCAACGACTGTTACTGACAAATTTATTGAAGTCTGGGAAAGAACCGATGGTCAGAGAATAAATAAAAGACAGGGGACGGTCACAAAACCAACAGGTAGCTTGGGATGCAGGCTTGAGGAATAACTTGGATGCACACCCAGCCAGCCTTTGTGTCCGTGGCAGGCGGCAGGCAGCAAAGCATCTGTCGAGGAGGGCAGCGCAGGCTCGGCGGAGCCCCTGCCCCAGCCTCTTCTCCAGCGGGGCGTCCAATCCTCTGGCAGTTGGAGCCAGTGGAGAGGGGGAACTGGGGGCTGTTTGGCAACGGAAATCGGGGCCCGGGCTTAGCCTGGACGCTGAGGGCCTGGGGGCGGCTGTGACTGGTAGGGAGCTCCTTAGGGGCTTAAGGAGCCCATCTCCCCCCACCCCAGGGTGGTGGAGCCCAGAAGTATGGGAATATCTAGAGCCAGTTGCCCCAGGGGAGAGGGGTAAGGAGGTTCCTGGGGAAGGTAGGAATTGGTGGCTGGGAGGCCCCCAGAGGGACCAGGAAGGACACAGGCGTGGCCTCCTGCCTGGCCAGACAGGCCAATCTCTGACCTAAAGGTGTGGGGGGGCCAGGGGACTACAGAACTCAGACATACGGAGCCTGGGAAATGAAAGCACAATTAGTATGTTTTTTTTTTTTTTTAATTCTAGAAATTAAAGCATCTTCCGGCCTGAGGGCTGTGCTGGTCCGGGGCGTGTGTGTGTGTGTGTGTGTGTGTGTGTGTGTGTGTGTGTGTGACATTTCCTGTTTGGAAACTGCAGCAAGCACTCAGTTAACTGGTCGATAAAGGGAGAAATCTGCTTACAAAACAAGGCTTGCTGAGTGGCCACCAGGTGGGCTGGCCCCCGTCTCAGGAGGAGCTTCTCAGACGGGAGGCTGGAGAATCCCTCTGCTTAGGGGAGGGGGCCGCGGGGGGGCACTCCGCAGAAACGAGCCCTCCTTAAGTCCTCGTCCTGTCCCCCGCCGGTGGCACTGCGTCCTGCAGGGGTCCAGGGCTTTGGGGACAGGAGAGCTCAGCTCCAGACCCGCCCCCCCCGCCC